CTTTTTGCATGTCATATAACACGCGTGTGTGCTGCGCAGTGTGCTGCGGGTTTGAGATGCGTGCCTTCGGTGGTCTGGGAGTGTCGCCTGTGTTGCCATGGCTGCCTTCATAGACGTGTGCTTGATTCGACCTGCTGTTGGCGAGCTGCAGCTCTTCACCAATAAATGACACTGTTGGAGACAGTTCCGCATGAAAAGCGGGTGTGTGTATGGGGTACTCGAGGGGGCATTTGAAAGGGGACATGCACTGGTGGAGGTCGGTGAGGGACACCTATGGATCAGGCCCTTGTTTCGTGAGCGCTGCCGCACTGCTTCCAGTGCGCGAATGGGCGACTTTTCGTCGTTTCTTTGGCTCATAATGCATCGAATGGACAGTAATGCGTGCGTCCGAGACGCTGCCGTGCATTTGTACTTGTTCTGGGCATGGAATTACACCACAGGGACGCGCGCCAGTGCGTTTGCGACAAATGAGATGGGTACATGTGCACAAGCACACACATTATTATAATTATGAGCAAAGTGTCTATGTAAACCACAATAAATACACGTTGGCCTTTTGACTTGGTGTAAATGCATGTCAAAACCTCAAATCAAGTATTAAGGCCAGAGAGAGGCAACCTGCGGCATAATTCAATGCGAGGACGCCTCGTAAGGCCCACCATAGGCGTTGTACAGCAGGGCGACGCTCTGATACAACACAGGGTCTGGAAAGGGTGTGGTTGGGTCCAAATCCACCCCTCACAACTCTGGGCATAACTCAAGAAATAATGGGAGTATGGAAATGAAACTTATATCGTCTGAAAGAGCGTTGAGCAGTGACTAAGTACTGTGGTTTATTTGCGTATTGACCTCGGTACAGCTCGAGGGCAAGCCGGGTATTAAGACATGGCACACCAGTGCCGCTCAGAAACCACGAAAAGTGCCTTGCAACATTCGGTGTTCTTCGGTGCAAACTGGCAAATTTGAATCTCTCGCGGCAAATGAATCCTTGCACCTCGTCACACTTCGCCACGAAGTGGGTCAATGAGTAGCGGGTAGATTTCTCTCGGTTAGGCGTAGATTTCGGGCCGGCTGGTGTGTGTGTGTGTGTGTGTGTGTGTGTGTTTATTGGGAAAAACTCGCTGAAATCTTACACTGCTCCCGGCGCTCAAAGATGGGGAAGGCAATTGCGGCAAAACAAAGGGCAACGATGCGCATGGGTGAATGTGTGTGAGAGCACGCGCCTCATAGACAGAAAGAAAAGTGAATCAATAGATAGATAGAAACCAAGTGCCTCGGTGCGAGGCTCATGTGTAGTGCTGCGACTGTCGCTTAGACAGTTGCAGGGGGCTCTGTTGCGGCCGGGCCACCGGGGCTTCGTGAGGTCACTGGGGCGCTGCGTGGCTGTCCCTCATCGTTGTCGGTGGTGGCGGTGGCAGCGGCGGTGGCAGCAGTGCCGTTGTTGCTGTCATTGCTGCGCTGGCCGCTGTGGCCGGGGGGTGTGGTCTGCGGATGCTTGCGCTTGCGGGTGCGCTTGCCCTGTTGGTGGTTGCGCTGGGCTTGAGCGCGCGCTCGTTGTACCGTCTGGGTGCTCTGGCGGGGAGTGTGTGTGTCTCCCGCCCGGACCGAGCCCGGCTGGTTTTTGCCCCGCTTGTCGTGAGGCATCTGGCCGATGCACCGGAGGTTCGCGTAGCACTCAGCCTTGCATCTCGCGATGGACAACACTTGCCGCCAGTACGTGCTGCTGTGCATGGAGGTAAAAGTGCGCACGTGTGGTGGTGTTTGTGGGTCCGTCGTGGACATAAGGTCGCTGCTGAAGAACTTCCGGAACTTCGAGCCCCAGGCGCCCGAGCCGGCCTCGATCGCAATCGGCACAAATTTGAAGTCGCCCTGGTCGCGTAGGATGGCCTGGTACTTCTTGATCTTGCGTTGTTCCGCCTGCGACGCCGCGTAGAGGTTGACTTTGGCGGCCTGTGGTTGGTATGAGCTGGCCGCGGGGGCGGCAAACACGAGGTGTGTGTGTGTGTGTGTGTGTGTGTGTGTGTGTGTGTGTGTGTGTGTGTGTGTGTGTGTGTGTGTGTGTGTGTGTGTGTGTGTGTGTGTGTGTGTGTGTGTGTGTGTTTGCTGTCTTTGCTTGTGAAGTGCCTTTGCTGTTGTCGTTTATGGAACAAAACACCCTGACACGTGTGAGCATGTCACACATCATGTCACGGCAGTTGGAAGTGGCTTTGTCGCTCGCCACAATGTATGTCATGTAACAGGAACACGCAGACGTGTACACGGACACTTCCCCGACGTGTCATCCATCACTCCACTGCTTCATCGCCATCACCATCATCACTACCACCGTGTTCCTTGTCCTCGTCCTCCTCGTGCCCTATCTTCGACAGTACCACGTGTCCACCCTGCTCCACCATCTCGGGTGGCGGCGGTGCAAACGCGGCACCACGCGTTGGGGATGAGGGCGACGACCAGTCGTGCGTCTCATACCGCGTCACGCGCTCTTCATCACCGCTATCGCCATCATCGTCACCATTGTCTTCCCGCGGTGACAGCACCTGCACATGTGCGTGCATGTGTGTGTGTGTGTGTGTGTTTGAGTGTCAGTGCATGATGATAGCAACACACACACACACACACACACACACACACACACACACACACAAGATACACACACACAAGACGCACACAGGATACACGCACACACGCACACGCACGCACACATGAACACACGCACCTCGTATTCGTGCTCATGCGACGTGTCGGCGCTCTGCGACAACTTTGCCCACCAAACACCATTACCACCACCATCACCATCACCATCACGGCCACTTCGCTTTCCACGGACCGGGACCATGTACACGGGATCAGCATCATCATCATCACCACCACTGCCAGTACCATCATCACCATCACCATCACTGCCACTGCCACCAGCATCATCATCATTGTTGTTGTTGTCTTTGTGTCGTTTCGACCGGCGAACGGGTACAGCAGGAAGTCGATCACTGTCGCCAACACCAACACCACCACCACCACCACGAGCATCTTGTTGCATACTGCTATCACCAGCATCACCACTCTGTCGTGCTGCTGTTGCCGTTGTTGTTGCTGGCGGGGTTGAGGCCAGCAGGGAGTGCGCCCCAAGAACGTCATTGGGCGCTGTCGTGTGGTGTGGATGAGGGAGGGGATGTGGTGAGCACGGGGGTATGCGAAGACAGATGGGACGATTGCATTTCCAGAGGTGTGAGCGCACAAGTCACAGACACGCAACACTGCATCCAAACGCTGGCAGGAACAAAACCACGGAAAGATGATAGGCCTACAACACGCCACCACACGCCACCACACGCCACCACACGCCACAACACGCCACACCACAGTGCAACCCACCTCCTTGTGTGCGGTCATGCTGCGTTGTGCGCGTGTCATCCAGCATCCTGTTGTGGAAGCTATCACCCATCATCACCATTGCAGCAGGCACCGTTGTCATCGTCGTCCCACCGTTGCCCGTTGTTGCCATTGTCGTGTCGTCGCAAACGAACAGCCCATCCGCCCCAACGCGATGCTCCCCAGTGTGTTGTTGCCAATGCTGCTGCTGCTGCTGCTGCTGCTGGTGTGGTCGATGAAGGTGGTCGTATGTGCTATCTCCACCACCACCACCACCACCACCACCACCACCAAGGGCGCTTCGTTGATAGCCGCACTCGCCATATGGTGCGTATGCCGGTGGCTGTGCATGCATCAACATCTGCTGCTGGTGTTGGTGTTGTTGCAGTGGGAGGGGCTGGTGGTGGTGGCGATGGCTGCTGCTCACCTGCGCATGTGGCGGTACAGCGCCAAAAGCCATCCCCCACATCATGCTCAGCCCAATGACCTCGTCGCTCACACCACCATCACCATCACCATCACCACCACCATCACCATCATCACCTTCAAGTGTCGGGGCGATGGGTGCAAGGCAGCAGCCGCACGCGAGAATGCATGGCAGGGACGGCGACATGCGCATGTGCGCCTCCACCCGCAGCAGCAGCCGGTACAGCGCTCGAAAACACAGGTAGGACTGCATTGCCAGAGGGAGGACCGATGTGCCGAGGAGGACCACAAATCCGGGCGAACCAGGCACCCAGCCGCCCGTCTCGCGATCACCACCACCAACACCGTCTTGGTTTGGCTGCGCCGTGCCCATCATGAGCACAACTGCAAATGCCATTGCATCGATCACCATGGCCAGGTGGGCAGACAACAGGCCCAGCACCAACACAGCGTCGCGCACGCGTGACAGCAGCAGCTGTCGCTGTTTCTGCTGCGGCGTGGCTTCACCTTCAAGCAGCCCCAGTGGTTGTGGTGGTTGTGGTGGTTGTGGTGGTTGTGGTGGTGGTGGAGGTGGTTGTGGAGGGTACAATTGTTGTTGCTGTGGTTGTTGCCGTTGTTCTTGCTCTTGGTCGTGTTCTTGTGGCGGCGGTTGGCGGATGCTTGGTGAGGTGTGCCTCCCTGCGGATCGAAAACATGGCAGCAGCAGCAGCAGCAGCAGTCAACACAGGGTGAGAGAGTGCGCGCTTTCGCACATGTTTGTGTGTGTGTGTGTTAATGGAAGGGACAATCATCACGAGGGCGTGCTGACTCTCCACCCAATCTTCCCCCGAATGCGCAAGACAGGCCCAAAGCGATCGAGCACATGCACGCGTGCACGTGCAATACTCGTTGCTGACATGGCATGGTATCGATGACGCAAGGAATAATGACGACCATCGCCATTCGAAACAGCAGCCGCAGCACCAGCGACACCACGTATCCCTGGCGTACACGTGTCATGTGGAAGAGAACCAAAAAATAAGGAGAGGGATGAAATGTGAGTTCAAAACGAGAAGGAAGAGACACAATGCATGGGAAACACACGGACGTGACAAAGCAAGGGACAACAACAACCACACGCAAGCAACAAACAACGTCGATACACAAGCACACACACGCATACACACACGCACGCACGCACACGCACACGCACACACACACACAAACCAACTCCAGTACCAACCCAGCGTGTGTCCTCCTGATCAGCAAGCAAGATGATGTCCACAGCAATGCCCGTGACGGCCAGAGCACCAACGGCCCACGCCATCCCAGTTTGCACACCGCGACCACGACGAACACCGCCATGGACGCCGACACCACCCTCTCCAAGGCTACGCGATTGTGGCCATGCCCTATTGTTGTTGTTGTGGTTGTTGCTGCTGCTGCTATTTTCAGTGGCGTTGCGGTGTCGGCGATGACCTGTCATCCCTTCATCCCCAGCACCGCCATCATCACCACCACCATCAACACCATCATCAACATCACCACTACCATCACCACGATTGCCACCACCACCATCACCACCACCGGCACGACGTTGTTTGCGGCGGCGAGCGAGGAGGGACATGTGCCGTGTTCGCCATGCTGTGTAGCGCACGTGCGCAATGTGGTGCACTGCGCGCTGGAGCAGGCTGAAGTCCAGCACCACGAAGATGGCGGCAAGGTTCAGCACAAACCAGAACGTGGGCGATGCAACGGGCGTGGTCGCCTGCTGGTGAAACGCGTAGTACAGACTCGCAGGCAGGTTGTTGCTCAGAGCAAACACGCCAACGCACAGCAAGCCCAGGCTGCCAAGGCAGACGACCACGCTGACAGCCCAGGACCACGCCATCTTGGCCAGCTGCAACGCTGCCTCCCGCTGCGCAGCGTCGAGCGCATCTTCCGGCGTCAGGGGTCCCATCATGGTAGGCGCTGCATCCGCGTTTGTCGTCGGGTGTGACGACTGGCCCTTGCCGATCCAGAACGCTGGTGGACAGCAGCACATGCAGCAGGCTTCGGAGTCGCTCAGCGGCACAGAGGCTGGAGGTGTTGTCAGGGCGTAGGCGGTGCTGCTGGGGCTGCTGCCGCTGTTGTCCTGCACCACCACCACATCATGTTGCATGGTCGCACGTGGAGGCGCATGTCGGTGATGGAACGCCTCGCTGCCGCTGTCAACAGGCCCTGCTGGATAAAACACGGTCCTGCTCACATGCGGGTGGCGAGCCGGGGTGCTCGTCAGCAAGGACGTGGTTTCGTCGAACTGCGGTTGCTGGGATGTTGACTTGTGCTGTGCTGTTGATTGCGCCTGTGATGTGGTCGCAAGCGCGGCGGGCGACAAGCCGCCTCTTTGCTGCGCTGAAATCTGTGCCCCTGCTACGCCTTCCTGCGACTCTTGCTGCTGTTGTGGTGGTTCTTGTGGTGGTTCTTGTGGTGGTTGTTGTGGTTGCGGTTGTTCCGGGTTTGTGTTGTGTGCGTTTTGGTGGTGTGCGTTTTGGTGGTGTGCAACGACAGGACTGCCGTCGTTGTTGTGCCCGTCACCATCGCCATCGCCATCGTCGTCGTCAAACGTGAACGAGATGCCTGTGCTGTGTGTTCCTCGCTGCCCCTCCAACGCATCATCAAGCAGCGGTAACAGCTCCCGGTTGCCCTTCTTCCCACGCAGCCGCTGCCACATGACGGGCGTGTGTTGTGGTGGCTCGCGCTTGCTTGTTGTTTTTTGTTGTTTGTTGTTCGTGTGAAGTTGGGGCAAGGAAGTTGTGACGATTTGTGGGCAACATCGTCACTTTTCCGCAATCCGGGGACGATGATGAGGCAAGGTGGTGTTAGCAGCCGTGGTGGTGGTGTTAGCAGCCGTGGTGGTGGTGGTGGCAGCGGAAGCAGAGGCAGGGGTGATCGAGGTGGTAGCAGAGGAAGTAGAGGAAGTAGAGGAAGTAGAGGAAGTAGAGGTGCGAGGCGAGGGAGTCGAGGGAGTCGAGGGAGTCGAGGGAGTCGAGGGAGTAGAGGTGGCGACAGTGGCGGTCGTCGTGGCAGTAGCTGGGGCAGTCGGGAAAGTTATGGTGGTGGCGACTTGAGGAACAAGAGGGTCAAGTGGAGGAGAGCAACAACGGAGGACGAGGATGGGAATCGGCAGCAACAAAAGCACGCAACATCAGCACTGGCACCACCACCACTGCCGTCGTCGTCGCCGTCGTCGTCATCATCAGGGTCACTGCCGGCGTCACCAGGGAGACGCGGCATGGCCAGACCGACGCGCGGCAAGAGTCGAGAGCTCAGCCGACTTGTGACCCACTCAAAGGAGAGTGTGGAGTATTTTGATCCGGACACGTCGCGCCGAGAACAGCGGAAGCTTCAACTCGCCATGCGACTCCTCGTAAGCTCAAAGAAACTGTTGCATGTGTGTGTGCTTGTGTGTGCTTGTGTGCGTGTATGTATGTATGTGTGTATGAATGTATGTATGTATACTTGTATACTTGTATGTATGTATACTTGTATGCTTGTGTACTTGTATACTTGTGCTTGTGCTTGTGCTTGTGCTTGTGTTTGTGCTTGTGCGTGTATGGGTGGAAGCGCGCATGGATGTGTATGGAGTACGCAAATATTCATGGTATTTCCCCCCCCCCCATGTTATCTCACCTCATCTCACTCCATCCCGTCGCATCAACGATGCGACACACGCATCCGCTCATGTGCCATCACTGCTCTGCGTCTTGAACCGGCAAGGGGTCTTCGTCGTCATCATCATCAAGCGCGGCATCGAGCCCGAAGAAGGGACCCACGATGGCAAAGGGGAAGCAGACGGCCAGGAAGGCTGCACTGACGCCAGCCGCAAGCGCACACAGCGGCGATATCATCACCACAGCGACAGCGGTGATTGCCAGGCCGTCACCCCGCTCACCGTCCTCACCACCTCTGTCGCCGCCGCCAGCGCACGCCAAACAAACCCACGCCACTTCTGCAAATGTGGCAGCATCCCGGCTCATATCCACCCCGGATCCAGCCCACATCGCACCCGATCCCAGCAGCGACGACAACGGCGACGGCAAAGACGACGACGGTCGCGCGCAGGACATCGACACGGTCGAGTCCCGTCATGGTGGAGATGAACAACACGACAGCACCAGCACCACCAACCACGACAACAGCATCAGCAACAGCGAAAAGATGTGCAGCACCAGCAGCAACAACAAGGAACACAGCACTGCCAGCAAGGGTAGACACGTGACAGGCAGCAAAGACAAGGGTGGCGGTGGCGATAATGTTGTCAGCAGCAACGGCAACGACGCAATTCCAGTCGCAGCGTCCACGCCGCTGCTTGTGGAGGCGATATTGGACAAGCGCACGCGGGCATCGGATGGCCTTGAGCTGTATCTGATCAAGTGGTTTGGCTTTTCCGACGACCACAACACGTGGGAGCCGGGATCACACATCTTTCGACAGGTATGTGAATGTCTGTGTGCGTGTGTGTGTGTGTGTGTGTGTGTTCTGGGTGTGTGTGTGCCTGTGTGTGTGTTCTGCATGTGCATGTGTTTGTGCATGCATGTGTGTGTGTGGATGTGTGTCTGTGTTCTGGGTGTGTGTCTGTGTTCTGGGTGTGTGTCTGTGTTCTGGGTGTGTGTGTGTGTGTGTGGATGTGCGTACGACTGTGGTCGCTTTACTTGATGCCTCCCTCCGCCGTGTGTCTGGGGCATTCCCGGATCCTTACAGTGCATGGATGGGTGGACGGATGTCGTTGTGCATTGCGCAGGAGATGGTGTTGGACTTTGAGCGACAGCGCGCACAGCAACAATGAGCAGATGGCAACTTTGAGTCCTTTAACACCACCAGAGAGATGGTGCACACACATGCACACACACACACACACATGCACACACACACACACATATGCACACACACATATGC